AAGGTCACCCTACTCCTCCGCGGATTTTATCCAATTTCGTCTCGTGTGAGTGGACAGCCCTACAAACATTGCTCTGCCGGACGGTAAAGGACAGTCTTGTTTCCGTTTGAGTGAACCGACTTCAGCCCGCCCAAGGTCTCAAATCCAATCAGGTCGGGCGGTGGGGGGCGACTAATTGCTTTGCCTTCACCAGCTGAAACGAGGGCCGGTTGGAAGTGGAGCTGACAAAACGAAAACAATCACCTGATGGCGACAACTTTGCCGGTGCGTCAGCTGTGCGGAAAATTGCCGCTGCAGAGAAGTCCGGAAGCGTGTGCTAGCTAACGGAACCGGACAAGTCCATGTACCTCCAGTGGAGGGGTGATTGGCCGCGAAATGAACTGAATCGCTGGGAAGTTGGCCCATAATGACATTTACACTTGCCCGTTAAATACGTCTGTCGGATTGCGCTGGGTCTTCGTGCGTCGCATATTGCGTGTGATGCGCGTCGGACGAAGACTCTGAACCACTCCGGACGCTGTTAGCAGTTTTTTTCAAGAGTCTTGGACAAGTCATCGGCGCGCGGTAGAGGTACTTTCTCGTGTGACAGTCCGACGCTCAACGTTCGAGCCACAAATGCCCCTTTAAACTATCACGGCACGCTAGCGGTTGTAGCGTGGATGATTGCTTGTCGGGGACGCAGCTCGACTCTCAACTGAAAAATGGGGCCAGACTGCAAAAACTCCAGTGTGGCACATTTAACCTTCGCGATATCCGGGACACCCTCGTCGAAACCTGGTGTTTAAGGAGTTGGTGTCAGGCTCGTGTGTGGCGCGCGTAGAAGACTGTTCGGATTTGTGGGTCACTGCGTCAGCGCACATTTTCCAGTCGTCTTGACGTTGCTTGCCACTGGGACGCAGTTCGCGGGAAGAGAGGGGTGAGCTTAGCAGTAACTCATCATATGGAGCAGCGGCAACGGTAGGTTGTGTAACCCCACCTCACATCCAGTAACCCCAGGCCCGTGATCCCATTGGAGTTCCTTTTACCTGTTGATAATATTGGTGATCGAACGAAAAATTGGCTTCTAAGCAGACTTACATGAGTTCAAGTAAGGCAGTTGCGGAAACATCCGTCATATGGATGTGAATAAATAAACGACATCAAAGGTGACCATTATCTCATCCGCGGAAATTGTGATTTCTCTCAATTTCCCTAGCAACTCTTAAGAGTTCTGAATGGAAGTTTCGCAGTCTCTCGTACGTGGGTGAATTTGGTGAAATAGCCACTTTGAAATTTTGTAGTTGGGTCCACCGATTAATTATGCTATCGGTCGCAGGGGTACCTCAGGTTTGTGAACTTTGGGCAATCCGTAGATCCTGGCTATGGTCGCTTCGGATTGTCTCGGGGATTTTGCAATGTCGCCTGGCAGTTTTCTCATTCCCGTGAGGTGCTTCAGAACTTTATCAATCGATGAATTCTGTCCCTTCGTAGGGTCCTTGGAAAGAGGCTTATACGTTGAACTATCTTCTAAAAGTGGCGGCCGCTTACTGACTGAAGCACAGCATGAATATTGATTTGCCAGCACGTTTGAAATGTTAATTGTTTTTGCACATTTACTGGAGTCTGACGACGACTGGGGGAACCGATGTCGAAAATTCACGCAATAAAGTTTTCTCCTTTGCTTCAAAATAAATACATATATTAATGCACTGACCTGATGAAGAATAATCGAAGACGTGCGTTCGCTGACTTGAACTTCCCCAAAGTAGATTTTGTCTGAGGGGGTGGGATGGTCTGGCAGATGGTCGCAAGATATCTCAACCAGCAGAAGTATCTATAATAGTCTGGACCAGACACAGAAGTCATCTCTGCCTCCTTGCCCCAAATGCCACATTCAAGCGGTGCAAGAGAACTCCAAAGGAGAAAGCGTGGTCACCGCACTTTGGATAGCACTCCAGACTGCCACTTACTCTACTACTCAATCGTTCAAAACAAAGGCCATGATCCACTGGCCTTGCTGGCCCAATCTAACCAGAATCTGAAGTCAAATGAACGGATCTAGGATTGCTTGGAGCGCAGTGCTGGGCAGCGAAATCATCTTTCGTTTCAGTCGGCTTCGCCTGCGTCCTGTAAGTAGCGTAGAAACAGAGACCACACACACAGTGACTGACAATCATATTGAAAACCAGTGGGGGAAATTCTGGCGGTGTTATGCCTGCGCGGACATCGACAGACTAGCATAACCCTTTTGCGGCAACGTAATAGGATGTTTTCGGCCTTATTTCTGGCTTTATATGCACTGACCTGGTTTCGCCGATGAAATCTGACTGCGCCCCTCACGAACGTCCAAAAATAGGTCAGAGCCAAGTGGCGACTACCCAGGCTTTTCCCGCAAACCCGTAGGACTCAGGGGGTGCGTTTTTTCCAAGAGTTTGCTCAACTCGGTCCAGCGTCTTGCCTGGTATGCGTTCGGGGCACACAGAGTATGTGCGTGGCAGGTGAGGGCAGTCTGTCCACTGGCGACGACACAGTCCCGGAAAGGTACTACACTTTGAGGCGCACATTCTCCCTCACCGCCTCTCTCAAAGGTGGCTTCCGCACGCCTGTGCTCGCGTACGCTGGCGAAGCCAGTACTTGCCACAGTCCCACATCAAAACGAGTCCGCGTGGATGCTTAAGCAGGCATCAGGCTTAGGGGGCTTGGGGGCGGGGGAGAGACAGAGAGGATAGATAGCCAAGGTTGCGGCCTCACCAGTAAATCTGTTCCGCAACCAGTCTACTCAAAGGAGGCAGAGAGAGAGAGAGGAAGAGGAAGGACATACCGAGCCGGAGCTAGGGCTGAAAAGGAAGATGGACGGCGCCAAATTCAAACAGCGAACGTCGCCACTTTGGCTTGCCATCATCAAAGTCTAGCCTGTAATTATTAGCCACGAGAAAGGCACTATAACGCAGCCCCCTAATCTCCCTCAGCCCTCTTGTGGAACGTAAGATATCACATGAACATTGTTTGCCCTCTCCCCTGGTGTGCGCCCAGGGAGTCGGTGACGAAGATGTCTAAGTATAGAGGGGGTAGAAAGACTGAGAGTAAAACAGAGTTGGAGATAGGTTGTGGTTTTCTCAAGCACCCCCGTCTCTGTGGTCAAACTGTCATGTCCCGGGCATCGGCACCTTTTCAAAAGAACCTCAAGGTCATGCTGTCAGGTGGTAAAATTAATGAAGGAACAGGACGTTATGGGAAATCACTCAAGTGCCGAACGACGTTCCACGCTAAATAAACAGTCTTCAGAATCTTACGCCAAAAATTCAGAACGCAAGCTAACTAGGCTGTGGCTGAACCCCGCTCCAATTTCTCAGCCAAGCCGCACAGAGGATTCTAAGGTCCCATTTTTCATAGGTCTCTGAATTCTCAAGAGACGGCTGCGAAAATCCAGCTATCCCTTAGCAGATGGTCAAACAGAACTTATATCGCGGACTGTCCCGTCTCTAAATGAACAACCTTCGGTGAACCAAAGAAATCACAAACTTGAGCGGATGATTTATCCAAAATGCACAATTAAGTGACCGATCTCATGGAATTTTACCCGAAATTCTGAAATAGGTTTTCGATTAGGAGGGGTTAAAAAGTGGAGTTATAATTTCGATTACCATGCAGCATACTCCTACAATGTTTCAGGCATACCAGGGCGTTAGATTTCGAATTCGCCTTTTTCCACTAACCTGCAAAATCCCCACTTGGAAATAAACGATTATATGAACAGTACGTATTCCTCTATTGATTTACGGTACCCCTGGAAATTCAAATATATTTTATGGAAGCATAAACAAAAGCGTTATTTTTTGGACGCACCTGACAGCAAATCACGCATTTTTTTCAAAAGTTATGCTCGAAGAAAGTAAATGTTGCGGTTTTAAAAAGTTTCCAATCATGAGACTTTTTGAGACCCTACAATGACTATTTCAGTAGCATGGTATCTGCCCGTTTACTAAGGCTGCGCATGAAGTAAACAGCATAGTTCCCATCCACTGAAAGGTCTCGTGAACCTTATATGATATATTCATAATGACATATGGGAATGCATGATTTTCCTTACACATAAATTGTGCAGACCGTAGATAGGGAACCTCAGGAGCAAATGCAACGGCAGATCAAGCTCAAACTTAGATGGGAATGAAAAAACCTTTTAAGACCTAAATACATCCTTCTTGAAAGTAAACACTTCAAAAATAAGGTGGTCTGCCACAAAATGTGCATGAAAAGTACATTTTTGGTCTTGGTTTTTGTAAAATATATTTAAAACCATCCAGACACCGAAAATAACCGAGAAACCATGTTACTTAAATGAAAAAGTTTCACCAAGTACGGATTTTGAAGTGCATTCGAAAGCTAATGTCCCGGCGCGCCTGAACTATCCTGGGATTACGCTGCACGACAGTTAAAATTACAACTCTACTTAAATAACACCTCCTGATCTAAAACGTGTTTCATAATTGCGGTCATTATTTCAATAGATCGGTCACTGTAGCTGGTTGTTCTGGAATGGCAGCCCGTTTTTGGACCAAAGGACACAGAATAAACCTCTATAATCTTCGGACCCCTTCACAAAGACGGGACCACTACGTGGGCAGAAGGTCATATGTCATGCGAAAAGGTGGGATCCCTGGTGAGCTCAGTACATGTCTCCCTTTTTTGTATTGTTTTTATCTTCGAACTTTCCGCAATATTCTAATCCTCCTCATGCGCACTGTCTCTCCTCATTAATTTTCCTGCCTTTCTGCGCCGTAAGGCTCTTTGTCCAGCTAGCCAGGTAGATCCGAAACGATCCCGCACCTTATCGGTGATACCTCGTGAGTGCCGACTGCTCGTCGTTGTATGGCCGTCTGCGAGGGTAGTAGTTGTTGAGCTCTAGGACCTGGCCAAATCGCTCAGCTTCTCATCAGGTAAGCACTGCTCTCAAGTGACTGCACAGTCCCGACCCCAGAAAATGGAGTGGGATCCCAGCAGCAGTGCCATCTAACTTAGAAATGCTCATTGGCCAACTGGACCTGCATGAACCCTCGGGTGCGTCTGACTGGTGATTTCGGACCATATTAATATGAGTAAATCCTCATTATGTTGCGGCTTTATGATGCTCGCTGCGGCCGAGCAAATAAGTAAGCTTCAAGGCAGACGGTAAAACATCGGTTGTACTATTAGATTTCATGGAAATTAAAATGACAAACATGCTGTCCAAAGCATAATTCCATTGGTTGATAGCAAAATAAAGGCTTCTATCCAACAGAAACAGGTAGCAACCATGTAAGCATGGATTCCAGGATGGGGGGGGTGGTTATATTTCAGTACTGTTGAGGGCTGTTTAGTAGACTTTCGGTGTAATCATTGCAGGTCCTTGCACTATTGATGTTGCGATATTTAACAGACATGCCATTCCATTGTGCTTCCTTCGAGTTTTGAGGAATAACTAGGCGGTTGTCTACCTTTCCGCCCATCATAATCGCCTGATACGCATGATTTAGCTGATAGGACTTGACTGTGACACTTTTTCAAACCCATCGCTGCATTCTGACAGTCAGTGATCTGCGTGACAAGCATTCAACTTCAGAGAATGAGTTGCATACCGTATGTTTAGACTTGCGCCTTGAAATGTCACCTCTGCGAGTGAGCCAGTGTGAGTTCGTTAGAAAGCATACAGACTGGTAACTAAAGGAGGAAAAGCTCCTGATGGACTCTAGATTTTGTCACGATTATTTTCGGCTCTTTTCAAAGTTAAAGTAAACAAAACGACCGGACCTATGAAATCATCCCGCAAGGACACTGATGGCTTCCGGTGATGCCCCGATTATTATACTCACTCAACCGCTCCTTGATCTTCTTGGAAAATTGACCGGTACTACCTACGCCCCCCCCCCCTTCGCTGGGTGGAGTTCTGTCATTTTGGCGTCAGGAGACGTCTCCCAGCCTCCAACCCCGGTGCTATGGAAATCAAAACGAGTATTTGGTTACTCGGAAGTCAGTTTCTTGGTTTTACAGGGAAACCATTCACGACGGACAAGTCTGCTTCTCCAAAAACGGACGAGATGCAACCTTCATCTCCCACCCATCCTACCCTAGCTGTGAAAGGCGAGGCGACCCTCCGAAGGTTTCTAGCCGGCGCGCTGTGTCAACGCCCTCACGGCCTCATACTTCTAGTGGATCCTCAAACCGTAAAGTCTGAAAATGGCATTGGCTCGGCCGGAAAATTCTCCGTCCCCTTCTGACTCGCGAGACTCCTGGCTGTTAAACTGGGCTGGGTGTCAATGTTCGGTTGTTCTTAACGGTTGGACTGAGACACAGGGGAGGACTCTGTTACTCTCTGGTCCACCTGGTTAGAAGTGGCGCGCACAGATGGAAATGAATCAAACGTGTGCCTTCTGTGCTATCCCATGTAAATTGGCTGGTTGCAAACCAGACTCTAGATTCCTTGTTGGTAAATCACAAAGAACTGCTACATGGCAATCTCACAGCTCCCTACCACGATCTGCCGGTAAAATCTGAATTTAAGCCAGGTTTCCATCGCAGAGAAGGTCAAAGAGGAAAATGATCGCCTAACAAAGTGGGCATCCTGTAACCGATGTAAGATTCGACATGAACAGTCCCAACAGTCCCTCTTCATAAACGCGGGAGCTCCTGGTCACATCTGCGATGACTAATATCTAATCGTCAGTTCGACAACCAAATTGGATCCTTATCCTCCCCCGCGCATCGACGATCTGAATGTATCCATCTCTGCTAGTAACCAGTCTACACCTATGAACTTGGAACACACCTATATCCAACTCGTTCTAGACTGGACGCCACCGCCAATGCGCACCAGATATTATTTCTATGCAAGAGATTAGTATCTGGAGTAAACTCCGTCTGCCGATGTATCTCGGTGTTTGATGACGTCGTCAAGGGCATAACTCAAATTTGCCCATATAATAAGGACATATCAGTAGCTATCCCATTTGGGTATGGCCATATGCTGATCCCAAACACAGTGGAAAGAAGTCAACCTCCTGATTCGTACCGCTTCGGATAAAACGGGCCTCGTCTCCTTGATCATAGGATCAAAACTACAGAAGTGATGGGTTGTTCCGTCGGAGCTGTGTGCTTGAGTTGTTCTGATACCTTTGGAGCCACAGACAAACTGGGTGGACAAGAAGTTCATCCCAGAACTCCGGCCTCCAGGGCTTATTCAGTACTGCGAAACATCCAGGCATTTCGCATTCCCATCACCTTCTGTTGCTAAACTTCGACGTCGGAGGTGTGCCGCTCTATTGGTGTCAGTTCTGTCGTTGTCGTGTGTAACCCGCTCTTTAGATCTGGATATTGGCATGCACCTCAGGTTTGACTTTTCCTCCATTTTGAAGTTCATGCAGCTACTAAAATGCAATTGGCCCTCAGTCGTATCAAGGAATACAGCATTTAACTCATCTGATGTCGACGTACTTGGCGGTCGGCTGTGCGATTGCAGTGACATCCGCATCTTGGAGACGACAAGGCGGTTGTTCGTCCAACGGTCTGAAACGCACATCGTCCTGGTTACCGTCACATCGCTTTGGTCATTCCTTCTGATAAGGACGTAGCCCAGCAGCGGTCGGATCTCAGTTCGTAGCCGTACCTGCAGGAGACCAGCCCCAGCCTGACCCCTAACCCAACCCTTGACCTTAATCCCCAACCCCTAACTCTAACCCCCTAACCCTAACCCTAATAGGTACGGCTAAGAAATGAGATCTCGCCCCAGCAGCTGTCATCCGCGTCATTTCCTCTCTTATTGTAGGGGGAAAGATGTTGATCAGGAGAAGGCTGACTTCCATGCAGGCCTGGAGAAGAAGGAGTCATTTGTAGTTGCAATTGCAGATCCCTGGCACCCTGGCACCCCCTCTCAGGTACAGTCATCAGCACCAATGCAGATATTGAAATCACCAAGGGCAACCAAACTGCCCGCCTTCTGAACAGTCGATAGAAGTATGCTGGGGTCCTGGGAAGTGGCCATTGGGGGGAGGAGAGGGGGACGTAGGTACTGGCGACGGTTACAAATTTGCTTCCGAGGAGGGACAGGATAAGGGTCATGAGCAGGTCGTTGATGTCCTGTGGCAGGCACGGCAATCATTCCAAGATGTTGCTCCTGATGATAAAGGCGACTCCAGCATCCCATGGCTCTACTTTTGGATGTCCGTTACTGAAGAGGATATGACCAGCATCCACATTCTCTAGTTATCCTTGTTGGCAGGAGCGGGCCCTACTGGGAACTTCAATGTCCATCTTTTAACACATCATTTCCCGGGGTCTCCAGACCTGCCCTCTTTTCCGACCGATTGTCCAGTGGATTGTGCCAAAGAGAATGAACATTTCAGGCTACCGGAGTGGGCAGGGTCACTTCGGCAAATATCGGACGGAGGCGAGGATGGGTGTGAGGCCGAATAGCATTTCGACCGCGCACTTTGTGTCCGCGAGCTACGAAGTGATTATCCAACATCTGTTTAGGACGCATATTCTGGCTCGTTTAGCCGCGATGGGGCAAGCAGTATTATCTCTGAACAGAGTTGATTACTCATCCCAAGCGGCTGCCGAATTCTTCATGGGGTTGTCACGCTTGTATGGGGAGAGGGGGGAGGAGGATGTCTGAAATATCTTTGGTCGCCTACGGGGTCGCTGTCGTTTGTTCCATAAGATCTTTTTTGCCGGAGGGGAGGAGGAGGAGGAGGAGGAGGAGGGTGGGAAAGAGGCTAGGGAGGCTGGAAAAGGCCGTGTCTGGAGACACGGCAGTTTGCCCATCGATTCCGACGATGTCCACCGTGTGCTGCACAGCAAGGTGCAGCAGGCATGGATTAGTTTATAGTGATAATAGACTTTCGCTGCATCTAACGCACTCGACTCTCCCCACCTGAGCCCGGTGCCAAGACAGAGTCAAGAAGACCGGTGACGGAGGGGGGGGGGAGGGCGCAGGTGGATGACGCGGCCGAGCTCCCACCTTGGCGCTCCACTCCACACCCCCTCGTCCGCAAAAAACAGTTGACCAACACTTTAATCAACAACAGTAACACCTCGATGGGTCAGAGGGCGAGGATGATGACTGGGCAGCCATCCCCACAACCTATATACCCAGTGGGAACGCAAGCACATCTAACGGCAGGGAATCAAGAGCCGGAGAACTGCCAATGCATACCAGGCTGCGAGGGCCACGGTTTGCTGATCCTGGCATAGCGGACACTTACAGACCTTTTGTCCCCAGAAGGGAGACACATGTCCTGCCTTTACCTCAGTCGTCACCGATGTACACAGTCAACTACAGACGTCTAACCAACGAAAGTGAGTAGCAGCAATGAAAGCATGGATTTTAGGAGGGGGAAGGGCGATTATAGTTCAGTCTTACCGAAGCAAAATTACTTATTAAAGGCACCACCGTCTGTCGCCTTAACCTTGTTAATGAAGGAGAAAAGATGGTATAAGGGGCAAAATTAAAGTTTCGCTTATTTTTTAAAGAATACTACGAAGACTGCTAAGGTGTGAGACACATGCGACGTATTGAGTGTGTTAACATGGAATGACATGATTGGGGGTTGACTTGGCTGACATCGTTCTCGCAGGCCTTATGAACAGCATTCAACGCTGACGTTGTAGTAGTATTGGATATTGTTACGTTAACGAGATACGGGGCGGTCTTGGGATCGATTTTAGGGTGCGAGACAGTTATTTCTGCCATGGGCAAACCAGCAGGCGCTTGCTGATCTGACGAAAATACCGAAAAACATTCAGGATAACCTTTGCACAACAGTGTAAATGATTCGTACAGAACGCTTACGCCAAGGAATGCCCTAAATGCTGTCTTTATAAAAAAAAGACAACAAATTATTTGCGTGTACATAGTACTAACCAAAGTCATGACCCTCAAATCGTCATGTCTTCCACCCTGAATTGCTCGGCGCAGATTGCCGAAGAGAGGCTCCCTGAATTTCCCCCGCTCGTAGAAATCGTGGGTAGATTTCCCCTAACTGGTTCGCTTCAGTGTACGAGACACCTGTGGGAAGGTATTCTTTGGATGATGATCTTGGATTTTGCCTGCTTGGATTAGCCTCTGAACGCTGTTTTGGGTTGTGCTGTTTTTCTTCCATAAGCAAGCACGTCGTCAGATGAAGTGCATGATCTCCCAACCTTCTCGGCAAGCCCTAAACGGTGCCCGTTTTGGGAGTCAGGCTCCAAAACGACCTGCCCCGAGTGACTGACCAGCTCAACTGTCTGGAAGGGAACAGTCCTCACTAGAGCGCCCACATGAAGAATTGTGAGCTTGATTTCTTCGTCTGTGTTTAATTTCGTCCCTTTTCACTCGAACCCATCATCAGAGACGGTTGCATATAAAGGTATTGGAAGCACAAAGACTGCAGTATTTATAGTACGTAACTGCCGTGGGGCCACATACGTACTATAATTAACAGCTGTCGTGATCACCGCTGGGGATCTTAATTAAGGCGATGCCGGCTCGTCAGTCTGCGTCCGAGTCGTTAATTGTCGCAATTTCGTCATCCGTGTTGGATACTGACGTGAAGATTACTCGGCCATTTGGCCCGCTGTCTCCAGGATAGTTGAGCGCCCGCGCCCTCCCCACGTGACTGATTCCTATGCTCAGGGAATGTCTCAACACTGAATATGGTACCGGGAGGTCATTGCGCTTGTTGATGGATTGCGGACCTGAGAACCATGATTCGAGCAGCTCGCGACTCACGTGGTTGTAACCCCTTGCGAGGATTTCGGCCTCGTGAAGCTTGAAAATATGACCGGGTCCCGTCGAATGAGCCGACATCTGAGAGCTAGCGTCTTCCCGCCTCACTGCTGCTGCGTGCTCAAAAATTCGCGTCCAGAGTAATCTGCCAGTTTCTCCGACGTAACTGCCTTGTCCGCAACTGCACCAGATCCGGTAAACGACTCCAGACGTTTCCTGCCGTGGCAGCGGGTCTTTTGGCCTCATGACTTGCTGCCTGATTATTGCTTCCGGCCTGTGTACAACCCCAACTCCAAGAAGAGCGAGAAGGCGGCTGACGGTTTCCGAAACGACGGAAGTGCTCGCTAAAATCTAGGGCCGGTTTGATCTGGTTTCTGGTTTCGTCTGTGTACGCACTGGTGGACACAGTTGCTCGGGTAGCCGTTGGCTCTCAGTACCCGTCGAAGATATTGCAATTCGGTAACCTTGTCTTCACTGCAGCGCGTCTTAACGCGTCGGTATTGCGTTCTTACGCAGCTGCGTTTGTAACCGATCGGGTGGTTACTGTTGAAATTCAGTACTTGCGTCGTGTTTGTAGCTTTCCTGAACACTTTGGCTTTTAGGCCACCACAATCATTGCGGCAGACGAGGACATCCAGGAGGGCCAGCTGGTTGTTTTCTTCCTCCTCCATCGTAAATCGAATGTCCGGGAGGACAGCGTTGAGACGTTATTTGAATGTCAGCACCTTATCCCTTTCGATGACGATGAAGGTATCATCCACATACCGAACCCAAAATTTCGGTCTGTGGTTTTAAAAGACCAGCGACTCTAACTGTCGTAGGACCGCCTCGGTGATGGATCCCGAAATCGGCGAGCCCATTGATGTTCCCTTCACTTGCTGGTAGATTGCTCCGTCGAACGTAAAGTACATCTTGATACAGAACTTCAGGAGTTGGATGATTTAGGCGTTTCCGAGGCGATTCTCCGTTTCGTCGTATTTCTCTCGTAGGCGTAGATCGATGGCCTCGACTGCCAGGTCCTGTGGGATAGAAGAAAAAAGGGACGTGAAATCAAAGGAAACCATGATATCGCTTGGCAGGAGACTTACTCCTTTAAGTTTCTCCAAGAATTGTGTTGACGAGCTGACTTTAGTGTCCGAATCGGAGGTCAGAAACTTGAGACGTTGAAACAATCACTTTACCAGTCCCTTTTGGCTTCATAGTCCACAGCATTTGGCGTGTGCTCCAGTTTCCACAAGCGGGCCTAAACTGTTCAGCAGGGTTCCAGCAGCTGGCGACATGCCTATCGATCCACGCCACGACTGTAAAGGCGGGGGGAGGCTTGCCAAGGGGACCGCGCATCCATGCGCACCTGCGTGCGCACATTAGGGCTTCCTGCACGTGCTCACGCATACGCCGTGGGACGTAGGGGACGTGCTGTGCACATTAACGGTCTACAGGCCTCCGACTCCGCCGAAATGGCGACCGCCGAAATGGCGACCGCCAGAGAGAGACAGTATGCTCGCCAATATTACCGATCACGGGGGGGCCAGGGTTTAGCCTACATTCCTAAGCGACCCCTCTCATCCCGCGCCGACGTGGGCGGGTCCCTTGTAGGCGATCCGGCCAATGCAGGGACATGCTTGTACCAGCATTTGCAGGTTTCAGCATGAATCACATGTCCCGCCCTCTCCCCCCCGCTCTCCGTATAAGCCACCGCCGACAAAGAGGGGAGGAGGGGCACTTTTTCAATAAGTATAAGCGCTCGAGAGGTAGCAGCAACAAAGACAAACGAGACTTAAGTGTCCACTGTCCGGTGCCGTCGGCTTGGCATACCCAGGACTCGCTGGTAGTTTATGGCCGGTGACTCCACTAGTAAGCAACTGGATCTGGATTAAGATCTCAGATCTGCCTACATGGAATTAGCACATAATGCGTCTTAGACAACAGATAATTCACAGATGACCACCCCAGTCTCCCAGTCTGGTTCTTCGTCATGTGACCACCTGTGAGAACTAGGGATCGCAGTTCCGAGGCCAGGCGGAGCGTCCGAATTCCGTCCTAAGTTCAAAATAGCTCGACGGATGCCTTTCTAGAGTACTTTTGATAAGAGCCTTATAGGATGACTGTTATTTCGGTTGTGGGACATTTGCAGGTCAAGGATTACGAATGCGTGGTTGGCAAACGTCTCCTGCACTTTTAGTGCCGACGGTATGCACGGTAAACGCAGTAGGCTAACAGACGGATACATACGTACATTTCGGATGTTTCCTCACCAAGCCAACTATGACGTTGGGTCGAGTCCGAGAATTAATCAAGAGTCTGGTAGAGGGACGCTCATCGATCGTTTCTACGGAACTCACTCGTCCCGTTGTGCCTTACGGGCTCTCTCTCTCGAGCCGAACCAACAGCCTCACAGCGGTACATGATATAGGCAGAATGGCATTACCGACAAAGACAAGGACGACTGAAATGGCCATTTCTAACCCACTAACCGTTGTCAGCAAGTCATACTCAACCCTGAAGTTTGGAACACCTGGGGCTCGATCTCGCGACCTGTTGGTTGGATGCGTTGGATCTCTAACTTACAGGTCGTGGGATTGAGCCCCAGGTGTTTGGGGTTTGGTACGACTGGCTAACGACGGCTAATGATTCAGAAATGGCCATTCCAGTCTTCTGTGTCTTTGTCAGTAATGTTTTTCTGTCCATAATCAGGGGTGTATACAGATACGCATCTGGCAGATTTGAAGGAGTAGGGTTCTTTTGTTTCAATGGTTCGTAGCGGTCGAATTGAGCTGTAGAAGTGTTTGGCGCGAGCCTGTCTTCCTTTCCTCATTCCGGTCAAGGCATGTGGAGAATCCGGATCCACTTCCCCGGTGGCAGCCCTCCAACCCACCCTCCCTGAACAATCGTGAGGACAACGTCGTCTTGAACCAACTGATCCCCCTTCTTCTTCTTCTTCTTCTTCTTCTTCTTCTTCTTCTTCTTCTTCTTCTTCTTCTTCTTCTTCTTCTTCTCCACATGTCAGATTGGATCTAGCTCTCGCAATAAACACCTATCTCCCTATCACTTTTTTTATCGTACGACTGCATTATTCTATTTGTGATGGATACCGCAAAGAATGATACGAAGGATATCCCAAAAGGAAAGGAGATGTAGGAGCAGGATGTAACAACTTAGGTATCCTACAAAGGTACGGGTGGGCCAGTGATCTCGGAGGCCCCCTCGAGGTCAGATATTACAGATAACCAAGGGCGGAGCAGGGGGGTGGAATGAGGCGTGCTCGCAACCCAACATCACAAAAACACTGAAGCAACTAACCCCATACCATCTGCTTGCGGACAACCAACTAATCGACCATTAGGCGTGGCAACTGTGTGCACAGAATCGGTTTTCGCAGTCCCCAGGGCACAACGAGACGAACACGTCCCCGCAATGGACTTACACCACGGTTAATATTCCCGAGCTCAACAGACAGAACAATGGGGCCGGTGGTTAAGTGCTGGACTTCGAAAAGCCCCGTGGACCAAAGAACGAGGGTTTTAGTCCCAGATCGTGCGAGCCGGAGGCTGCGTGAGGCTAGATAACGAAGAATAATAAGGCAGACGTGGCCATTTCGGCTTCCCTTGTCGTTTTCGGTAAGCCATTCTGGTTATATTAGTGGTCGCCATGCGACTGCTGCCTACGAGGACCTTAAACTGAACACCAAGTCGCAGTGGGAAATGCAAGTCATGCAACTGGGTCGGTGAGTGCACTTCCACCGTGTGTATTTTAGCAGATAGGATGGTCCTGGCAGTGGTTCGACTTAGACGTCTCTTTGTGGCAGGCTCACGGACACATTCTGGAGTGACAATCAAATAATGAGAACCTCTTTGTCCGAAGTAACTCCGATGTGTTTGCTAGGTTGCTCAACCGTAGTAGCAAGTCAGGGTGTGCTTTTGATCCACTGGTTTACTATTGCAAATGCGCGTTTTCCCTCGACTAGGTTATCTATGGACGGCCTTCCAATCCGATTGGGCTACCGAGACTCCTTTTCAGAGAACGCCTATGGAAAGGAATCGATCAGGCTTTGTTAATGTCAGGAGTGAATCCTCGGGGATAGTGGACATGATTCACAGATTGGAGCATCGACTCTATGTCCTTTTTTTCTCATCGCGATCCCGATGATTTCGGTTGCATAGCTACTGTAGAAGCTCCTTCTGATGGCCTAGCAATGACAACTGCAGGGTCTCTACGAACTTCTTTTGCCTATATCATGCGCCGCTGTGCGGCTGCTGGTTGGGCTCGAGAGAGAGCCCGTAAGGCCCAACGGAACGAGTGTGTTCCGTAAGAACGATCGGTGAGAGCCGCCTACCATTGTATATTCCCGATCGAAACTGACAGGGCAACGGGCTCGTGGCCCAGTGGTTAGAGGCGTGGACTTTTAACTAACAGGTCACGAGTTCGAGCCTCGGGTGTTAAAAACTTCGGTGTCGGGCGTGATTGGCTGGCGACGGCTAATAAAGCCCTTGTCCTTGTCGGTAATAACATACGAAAACACCTATATCTTCATTCTGTAAATGGTTAAATATTAATTTACGGATACCGAGTGACACGCTTGCACAGGTCAGAAGTTATACATAAACACTCTCCAAGATTACATTTTTCGTAGAAAGCACACCCTGATGACCTCCGTCTTTTTTATGTATATTGAAGCCAAATATAGGAAATACTGCAGTTGAGCTTCAAATGATAGAATCGCGAAAGTTGCTTGGAACTTAGGGACTTTTGGACGATTTGTTCTAATGATATGTGTTCTTGTCGAAATAGAGTCTTTAGGATTATTAATGCTGGTGGTGGTGGGCTGTTGTTACAGCAAAATGAGCCGTAATCGCCTTCGGATGTGCGGTAATAGACGCAGCAGTAGACTTGATAATAGTGACTGCTAGAGTGCTGTTCTGGCAAACACCAATGCACGCATCTGTGGTCATACTAACGTTCATTTCGAAAGCAGCCCTATATGTGATTATAGTAGCATGGGCAGTAATAAACTAAATCGATAGTGGGAGCAGCATGAATAATACCATCCACAGGCGTGACCACGTTGAGGCCCCAACCCGCCTTCACTCCTGTCTTCTTTAAACAAAATCTTTAAGAGACAGCGAGGCAAATAATCGTTTATCTGACCCCCCCACCCCTACCATGCGTGATATCTGTCTCCTGGTTACCATGACCTATATAACAAAATGAAATCGGAAAGCACAATAGCACCATGCCTGGATTAGATCCCCTCGGTGGTTTCTCCCCATGCACTGTCATCAGGCCATTAAGACTTCGAAAAAAAAACAACAGTTCCAACCTGTATGAAATCATGCCTTGCTGGTGAGCAGGGCTGGATTTTGCCATATGCGCAATCGGCACACACACAGAGGCAACATCAAAGAATGCGCCAGGGTCCGCACAAAATTTAAAGTTTTTTTTAATATATGTGTGCTTGCGCGTGCGTGCGTGCGAGTCCCGGTCTCATCCGCTTTGGGTGTGATCGAAGGATTAAAAAAAGCAGGGTAAGGTTTACGCTCACCTGCCATGCACGGTGGCATAAACTGTGCATGCCTGTTTGGCGGGAGTTACAACTTCACTCTGTCCATCTGTCAGAAAGCCGCTCAGGCTAGTTCCTTTGTCTGGCGCTACGACGAAGGCGAAGGTGAAGTGGGCTGTGTCGGGACTTGCGAAACATCGACCCCACCACCGCTTCCCGTTTACAGCTGCAGGCCTGGATGCAGTTTCTGGAGAGACCTTTGCTGTCAGCGTTTGCACGGGCTGGGCGTGTGAACCGAGTTTCATAATTCCACATTTTGCGATCTGTAATCGTCTCTGCCTAGCGGAGAGTCGGTAAGATGTGGTTATGTAGCCCCACCTGATGGGCACAATACTGTTAGGGGTTAGGGCAACTATTTTTCAACCACTCAAAGTACGACCGCGCATTCCCAATAGCCTTTCTTTTGCATGCAACTACTTGACCTCGTCGCCTGTGCGGTACCCCGCCCCACCTGTAAATATCTTTATTACCACCTGTCTCGTATGAGAGGTGGCTGGGGTTTGTTTACTTTAGGTGGGGTTACATAACCACATCTGACCGCGGATAGTCATCGTAGCAGGACTCTCGACCTTGGGGGAGAAGTCCTCCTGTGTTTGGCCGTCTTTTTACACATGACTACTGGTAGTTTGGATGAGTATTAGTTGTAGTACAGTAGGGTTTTGCGGAGTCACCCTGGCTTCCACTAATTCCGGGTGCCTGGAATGGGGCTGTTTTATCAGACACTTTTGCACGCGGAGTAAGCTGGTTTTTATCCCAACCAAACGCACTCATATTCCTGAAAGATTCCGTCAAATCCAATGTGAAGGATGATCTAATACAATCTGGTCTTTGACAAAAACGGCTTCCACACATATTAACGTCTTCGCAAACGCGAGATTTTTGGGATTTCGGAGGCTGCAAATACATGTCAGTTTGAATTATGCTCGCCTGTCCTCTTCAAACGCTGGTGGCGGGCATTTTTATCGGAAGATGGCCGTGGAGGTTGGTATTGAGGGCAAGGGGGGAATAAGTAGGTCATGAAGATGTCTTGCATCTGAGTTGAAAGAAAATGGATGCAGTATCGATCCAATTATCTTTCCATTCCACCCTTATCACACGCCAGGGGCAAGACCGCGACGGTAAGAACACCAAACTTCTCCCCTCATTTTTCCTGCTTTTGTTCCGAAGGATACGTTCATTCCAATTCGTGTCCACCGCATACTATCTTCATTTGTCGACGTTTCTAATGAATTTTTAGTCGGTGTCCTAGCACAAGGACACTTCGCAGGAGCCGAATAGTTTTCTGACTGGGTTATTGATTATGTTGTCCGTCCGTTCACTCTGATTTACTTCCTACAAAATCTTTGCGCCCATCGCTCTTCGGCTCCTGGTATACATCCTCCCTTGCATCGGCATATCAGCGATTCTTAAGCTATTTACGACACGATGGCTGACACGTAGAGACAGAAGTCCAGGAACTGAAACTAAACTCATGCCCGTAACAGTCATCTGGAAATTTTGTAACGATGGTTCCAAGATAAAAGTTATTCTCTTTCTTTCTACTTCTTCTCTCACTCCCTCTGTCTAGACTTTAAAGGATGTTGAGGGCATGCCCAATGGCTAGAGTATGCACGCCTATTTGGGGCAGATGACCTCGCCTGCCTACAGCTAACTAATGTTCATGAATGCGTGCGGGGGGGTAGATTATCCAGCCTGACCACAATAAGTTACATCGCAGGCACCGCATGGCATTGTAAAGACGACTTCTTTCTTATCTTATGTCATATCTGAAGGTGTCTTTTGTGATGAGTTCAAACACGACTCCGAAATGCTATACGATAAAAATTTCTGTTCAGCCGACCGCATCTCCTCCTCGACTCCCTTCTTATCAAATTAACTTCCCCTATCCTTTAATTGCATAAGCTGCTTTTGGTGTACTGTTGCCCTTGGCTTGTGTTCCACCTGCATCTGATACTTTCTCGGGTTACTTTCAACGGGTCCAGGTGAATTCTTGATGTTGGAGAGGGTTCGTCAGGTAGCTGGTCTGGGTGTCTGACTGAACTCGTCTTCTGACTCGCGCTGAATTAAACTAAGTCGCCTATTGTAATTATTTTCTCGAAATTGATAAGCTAGAGATGTTGCACATCATTGTGTGATAAATCAGTCGATATTTATACACAACTCATTGTCAATTGGAATAATAGTACGCGGTTATGTCGCTGAGGCGAGTGAATTTCAGCATAAATGTTCGCCCCGGTTTATAAACGAGATCTGGAAAGGTTTGTTCCGAGGGGTTCGTCCCAATTCCACACCTTACTATGAAAGGAAGTTAAAAAATGCCATATATATACACATATGGTAAAGGTACTATACCGTACATCCGACATAGGTACTAGCCAAAAGCCCAGACACGTGTTTCGCCGATATTCTGCCTCTGCATGACACAGCTGCGAGGGGTCCAGGCCCTCAATGGGTCTCCCAG